TTATTCCCTCAGCAGACTGGCGGTTAAAATTAGTGCATTTGGTTAGAGTAACTGTAAGATAAGAAAGAAATTCCACAGGGTTTCCCTCAGTGTGTTGAGTGTGATTTTGAATTATACAGTTATATAAGCTAGTTACTTTCTGAGAAATTTGGGTTAGGCCTACAATAATGCAGATGGTCATTCATATGTTGTGAGCCATGTTCTCCTTGCTAATCCCAATTGGGGTCTGCATTTGGTAGTGCACTGTCCCCAGCAGGATGGTTAAGATTAGTTTGGTGTCTATAGTCAGCCTCATTTGGGGCCCCTTTCCATAGTTGAGGTGTTTTTTAAGGAGAAAGTGTAGCTGTAAGAACAATGTAGAGAACTTTATAATGTAAATCATAGGAATTAATCCCAAATTGGAGCTCTTTTATGTAGTTGTGGGGATGTGTGGAGAAGGAGCCTCGTCTATGGGAGATCTGGCACAGCTTGGACAGAGTAAAAGGGACATGAACAAGTACTAGCCCTTTAGGGGTGTGAGGGGTGGCAGTCGGCCAGAAGACAATGGTGGTTGGAGAGAAGATGGTGGGAGGTGTGGGAGTGAGATTTGGTGTGGTTTTCTGGAGGAAAAATGGCAATGGAGGAGTAGGGGAGGAGAAAGTGGTGGAGTGAATGGACTGAAGAGATAGAGTATGTGTGTCTAGGGGAGAAAATGGTGATGGAGGACAGGAGGAGGAGGAGGAGGAGGAGGATTAAGTGGTGAGGCTCACAGAGTGAGAAGGAGACGGGGTGGTGAGGCTGATGGAGAGGTTCAGAGGGAGGAAACTGTGGGTGCAGTGAAAGGCAGGAGGGAAAGCAGAAATGGCATCATCAATGGGATTGTTAGGGTTATCAGGAGGGTTTAGTGGTGTAGGGTGAGTCAGAAGTGCTGGGGCCAACTCTCATGTCTGAATAGAGGAATGTACCTAAAAGCAACACAGGCTGGCAGGTAAGGTGTCTGCAAGCACTTGCTGTTGTGAAAGCAAATGCTGTCTGAGTTGCAGAGAATGCTAAAATGGAAAGTGCACTGTTCTGGCCAGAAGCTGTTATTGTTCATTTTATATTGGATCCAAGCTGTCGGGCAATAAGAGATTAGCCATTTTGGTTTAGAGTTCTCTCTGAGACCAAGAGTGTTTAAATTCTTTAAGAGACACCTGAGTATAGTGTGTTTTGGTGGGTGGGAGAGTATTTCCCATAATGATCAAATTAGAGGTAATCTGAAGGCCAAAGCCACTCACAACTCCAAAGGAGGATTATCACCCTACTTGGGGGTGTGACAGAGAGAAATAGGTTCCCCATCCACCCCTTTGGTTGTCATCCAGAGGATGGAGGGGTGTCCTGATTGGGGCACACAATTTTTGAGAGAGAGGGAGAGTAAAAGGAGAGACTCACCTGTGGGGAGCAGATTGGATCAGTGGTGGATGGAGGCAGACAATGGCAAAGGCAGAGATGAGAGGAATAGGATTGGCTCATTGGCTGGGGAGATCAAACTGGGGTAGCCCTCCAGAGCTGCAGGCCTCAAATGATCTGAGTCATCACAACCAAATGTTAGCTCTTTTGCACAGCTGAGAGACATATATAGAGATTAAAAAAAAAAAAACCTCTATTGTTGGTGCAAAAGGACTGCTGGAGATTTCAAGGACCCGCAAAAAAGCCAGGGGGAGTTTGGAATAGGGGTGGAAACTACATGAGTGGACATGTCATGATGTTGGGAGAGGACTTGAGGACCTTTGGTCCAGGGGGGGGAGACTATCTGAGTGGACAGTGCCGTGAGTGGTTTGGAGGACCTTCAGCACATGCACAGAAGGGACACAGAAAATCTATTGGCTTGGGATCAAAAGATGAACGTGGGAGTTAGTGTACGAGAGACTTGCTGTTGTTTTAGGTGTCAGTGCCGTGTTGAGCAGGCGGCACACTGAGCCTGGCAGAGTCTCATATGGGCAGAACCTATCACTGTGTCTACATAAGATGTTATTCCTGGCTGAGTAGGTAACAGGATTTTGGTATAATTTTTGTAACTTCTTATGAGCTTACAATTATTTTAAAATACAATGTTTAAAGATATTCATTACATCTTCATTTATTTATTTCTGCAGTGCTTGGGATTCAAACAGGGGCTGGTACATGCTAGGCAAGTGTTCTACCAATTAGCTATACATCCCCAGCCATGTCTTTCTGCTTTTTAAAATTCTAAAACATTTAAAATCTTGTGTGTGCCCCCATAGCGCAGATAGTGTGCTATTGACAGAACTAGCAACACAGAAATCATACAACAGAATAGAGGACCCAGAAGAGCACACACACACACACACACACAGAGACACAGACACACACACACACACACACAGACTGATTTTCAACAAAAGTGCAAAGGCAACCCAGTGGAAGAATGCTACTGGCTTCCACATGGGGGACTGGAGTAACTGGACACTGCAGCCTAAAAATGAACCACAGTCTAAAGGACGCACCATATATAAAAGTGAAATAACAATACCAGTGCAGAAAGGTCTGTGCTCATCGTTACATCACCTGCAATACCATTTGCAGTAACTGTTTAAAAAGAGAAAGGAGCAACGTAGATGTGTATTGTTCAGAAAAGATGTGAGTACATTATGGACTATTCATATGTGGTGCAAGGTTCTAACATTCAATATCTTGTTTAGAAATCAGAGTGTGTCTATTCAATAGACATAAAAGATGGTTGCTTAAAATGCAAGTGTGCATAATACAAGCACATTTAAAAATAAGGGATATAGTAAGGTGCATATACATATTATTGAGGCATAGAATTATATTCTTCAGTAATACTCTACATAGATTTATCAACATATATTCTATATAATCATTTCATAAGAGATCAGAAATAAGGTAGATATTTAACTATAGATAACACATCTCTGTTGATGTAATATACACCTACACAGACAAAAATCTATAAAACCTATAAACCTATACTTACAACTATGTAGATTTGTGTCTATAAATACAGGTAACCTATATATCTAATATATTATAGCTAATATGTAAGCTTAGCATATTATATCTTATAGATACATAGAAAAGCTATGACTATATATATTAGATCTATACAGGATTCTGTATTGATAGCTACATATAAAACCCTATAAAATGAAGGTCACAGAAAGTGCTGTAGGTGAGGACATGAACTCTAAAGAACATTCCACATCAAGTGTGACTGACCATGCATGCATGAGACCATGACAATATTTTTTAGATTTAATATATCTAGATTGTTTGTACTGTGAACTGCTATGATAAGATAGCATTACTTCTGTAACTTAGAAAACAACTATCTTGGTGAGAAGAAAAATAATTCTTTTAGTCTGAGCTTGAGAGCCAATGTGTTTTCCTGCTGAGTCCCCTGGCAGCTTCCACCCCTCAGGAATGCTCCCGGAGCAACTGCCCACAGGCACGGGAGGCACCCCACCCAAGCTTGGCTTCTGCAGCACTGGCTGGAAGACCAAAGTCACTAGGGCCACCAATCCATCCAGGTGGAGGACACAGGGGTCTTCTCTAAAATCCTGCTCTTGGCCTAAACTACTCCCTCCAGAGGGAGTTCTGCCTTCCACAAGCCATAGGATGCATTTTTCCAGCAAAGGTTTCTGTGGTCAAGTACATTTGAGAGAATGACTTACATCAGTGATGAACACATGTGGCAGCAGGCTGTTTGTGCCACTGAAAGCTCAAAAAGGTTCTCTCTCCCTGTCCCACACACTTCCTCCATACCCTTGATTTCTTGAGTGTGACCAGGATTTCAGTACAGCCAATGTTCTGGGAGGTCCCACTGAATAAAGAAAACTACTCTTGAAGATCATACCAACTACCCCAGCCTTTGGAGGACAGAATTGGTGTTTGAACCCAGCACCTTTGTACTGAGCTGCATCTCTAGGTCTCTTTTAAATTTTCTCACTGTGAGATTTGGCCTCATTTAGTCACTATGATGCTCAGGCTGGGCTCAAATATGCTATCTCCCTGTCTCAGTCTCCCAGAGAGCTGGAATTTCAGGGGTACAAACAAATAGAAAAGATACTAGTTTAATGAAACAGAACATACTGCTCTGATATCCCTGAAGCAAAAAAAGGTACCTCTGAGAGGGAATGGATTGGAGAGATGAGAAAGAATGTAGAGTCAAGCCTAGCCCATGTCATCCAAGTGCCAAGGAGTAGAGCAAAGAAACTCGGGAAGTGAAGGGGAAGGAGAAAATACAGAGGACCTATGCTGTGGGCATGTTAACTGAAAATATCTCGTTCTCATTACAGCAAAACCGACTGAGGTGCAGAGATGTGCCCAATGTGATCAGATGGCAGGGCCCAGCCCAAGTGTTCTGAGGCTGGAGCCTCAGACTTTCCTGATCTCAACTGCCAGCCCCAATCAGGAGAGGATCTTGCTTTGGGATGTGTTAGTCTTGGTCCTGTCTGGACCATCTTCAGATTCCAAGGTGGTCAGCAAGCCCACAATGTGAGACCCATGTAACTTCCCTGGGACTGTCCCATTCAAGGCACACAAGATCAACCCCATGTCCTTGAGCACCCACTTGAGCTAAATTCCCAGTGGTAGCAGTCACCTTCTTAGCTGCCACTCTCACCCAGGTCCACTCCGCCCTCAAACTTGGAGGCTAAAGCTGTACTCCAACCTGCCTCCAGAGCTGTAGAAAACATGCCAGTTCTAAATCCTAATGATTAACCACAATGAAAAATGGGCCCCTAAACACTGACTGTACATGAATATTACATATATAAGCACAGTAAATATCAGTAGACAATTATGATTTTTGCAATGCTGGGACTGAATTTGGGGCTTCACCAATGCTAGGCAAGTGCTCTCCAGTGCGGCTACGTACTCAGACCTTGTACTGAATTAGCTTATGACCACAGCCTAACATAAACCGTGGTAAAGTCTTCATATCAGTGGTGTTTTTAAAAGGTCTTTATCCCTCCTTTCCTGATTTATACAAATGTTACCTGGAACACATGTTGAGTAACTGTAGCAAGCTTCATCTCTTTCTGTAGGCTTTGTTGCATGGGCTTTATCTTGTCTGAATTTTCCATACTGTCCAGCTCCTTTCTCAGGTTTTTTATTCTCGGTTTGTAGTTTTAGAAGCTGACTTTCAGAAGCATGTTTTAATTCTGTTAGGTTAAAATAAAACAGTATATTATATATGAGAATTCTATAAACAAAGATCTTGAAAAAGCAAGCAGCAGAATATTTCCTAATTATTTCAGACAGCAGAACAATTTGAGTTAATAGCAGCTAGGTTGTACATTCTATTTGGATCTGAAAATGACTCCCCAGACTTTTTGGCAGCGCAGATCAAATCCAGGAGTGCCTTTGCACTTCCCTTCTTCATGCCTACACCATCATTCCGTTTCATTTTTCTGCAGTGCTGGGGACTTCACCTTGGGCCTTCAAAGGGGTTACACTCTTAGCACTGTTGTATTTGGAGACAGGGTCTTCCCAAATTGCCTAGGGTGGATTTGAAGTAGGCATCCTTCTGCCTCAGCTTTCCCGAGGGCTGGGATTACAGGTGTGTGCCACCGCAGCTGGCTCCAGCTTAATTTGTTCATTTTGAGACAGGCTCTGGCTACATTGCTGAGACTGGCCTCAAACTTTTTGATTTTCACCTCTAACTCCTAAACAGCTTGGATTAAAGGCATATGCCACTAATCCCACTTATGATATTTTAATTCCCTCAGTGAAATGATCAGGACATTTATGTGTGATCTTGACAGCTGTCTACAAGTGCTGCAGGTGGCATCATATAGAACAGAACTTGCTCTAAGTTACCAGAAGAACCAGTAGGAGATATATATAAAAACAAGCTCCTGCCTGCTTTATTATAAATGGGACAGCTAACCTGAATTTTAATGAAAATACTGACAAATACTTTCAACCAGTTTCAATTTTAAAAACCCACAAAAAATACAGAACTTCAAAACAAGATAGGAAATTAACAATGCTTATTATATTGCATATTGTGGTCTTTAAAACAGTTGCTGTGATTACCAGATGCAGAACTACTCAAATAGAAGCAGTTAATGTTCCTTTCGATGACCTATGAGCATTAGTAGTAGAACTGTCTTAGGTATCTGTGTGTGTACACACATATGTATATATGTAACTTTTTCCTTCCTTCTTTTCTCCTTTTCCCTGTCCCATTTCTTTCCTCTTCAGCGGTTTCATTCTCTTTCAGAATATGAGTTATACCTTTTGGATCTTATTTACTCTTTCAGTTTCTTACACTAGGGAGACAACATGCTGTTTACCCATATTGGTCTGTTTTATTTCACTTGTAAGTATAAACTCTAGTTGCATCATTTACCTATAAAAGCCTTGAATTGATCCATTTTTATATGTAAGGAATACTATCTTGTATTAAAATACCATATCCTAGGGCCAGGTACTTAGCCAGCAGCACAGTTTCTGCTTGGCAAATGTGAGGTCGCGAGCTCGATCCTCACTATGAAAAAGAAACAGAAAATACATCATTTTTATGCTTTTTGCAGTTGATGGGCATTTGAGTAGTTTCAAAGATCTATTACAAATTGTGCTGCTATAAACATGGTTGGACATATATCATTGTGGTATGATGTTTTTAATTCTTCTGGGAAAACACCCCGAAGGGCAATAACTTGATTGAATGGGGCCTCTAGTCCTAGTTTTTGGAGGAGCCTCCACACTGATTTCCACAGTGCTTGTACCTGTCTATATGCCTATGAAGGTTGGGAAAGGATGTTCTGCCCCACAACCCTGCCAGAATTGATTATTCAATGATTTTTGATGATAGCCATTGTTTCTGGGGAAAGGCAGAATCCCAGGACCTGATGTTTTTCAGTTCTTTATATGTTCCAGATACAAGTCCTTTGTCTGAGGAACAGTTGGCTAGTTTTTCCCAATATGTGAGTTTTCTTTTCACTCTGTGGGTGACTTATTTTGCTGTGAATAAAAAAACTTTGTAATAAGATGAAACCCCAGTTATTGATTCTTGATCTACTTCCTATGTAGTTTGTTTTTGTTCATGAAATCTTTGTCTACTGCCATGTCTTCAAGATTTCCACCTTATTTCTCTTCTAGTACATTTCATATTTCTCTTTTAATATTGAGATCTTTGACCCATTTTTGCTAGGGATTTAGCTCAGAGGCACAAGCACCTGCCTGCGAAGTGCAAGGCCATGAGTTGGATCCCTGGCACCAAAAAAAAAAAAAAAAAAAAAAAAAAAAAAAAAAAAAATCTTATTTGTACTTTAGTGCATGGTGATAGCCAGTGGTTTGGTTTTAGTTTTTGTATTCAGCATATGGAAAAAAGTTTTTCAGCACCATTTATTAAAGAGGATTTCTTTCACTGAACATCTTTGGCTCCTTTCTCAGTGAGAGTGTGGCTGAGTGTAGGTTGTGTCTGCGTCTTTTCTGTTCCAATGATCCTCAAGTCTGTTTGCCAGTACCATGCTAATTTCATCACTGTAGCTTTGTAGTATAATTTCAAGTCAGGGATTGTAAGGTCTCTTGCTTTGCCTTTGTTGCCCAGGATTCTGGGTCTCTTCTGGTTCCAGATGAATTTTAAGAATGTTTTCTCTAGACCTCTGAGGTACACTAATGGAATTTTGATCGGGATTATATTAAACCTATACAACAGTTTTGGGAATATGGACACTTACACAGTGTTGGTCCTCCCTATCCATAAGCAAGGGTATCATTCCATTTTCCAGTATCATCTTTGAACTCCTTTTTCAAAATCCTGTAACTTGTAATGTATAGATCTTTCACTACCTTTGTTAGAAGGATTCCTAAAAATCTCAGGTTTTGGATACTATTGTGAAAAGTGTTGTTTCCCTGGTTTCTCTCTCGTTGAGTTTGTTATTCGTGTGCAAGAATTCTACTGATTTTTGATCATTGACTTTGTATCCAGCTACACCTCAGAATTTGTTTGCTAAATCCGGAAAAATTTTGTGGAATTTTGGGGGTCTTCTAAGTAGAATATCTTGTGGTCTCCAAATAATAATTTCACTTCTTCCTTCCTTAGTCTTCTTCCTTTTCTTTCTCTTGTATAATTGCTCTGGCTGTTTCCAGAACTATATGGAACAGGAGTAGTGATAGTGGATATCTTCACCTCGTCCCTAATTTTAGGTTGAAGGCTTTCAGTTTTTTTCCAATTAGTATGATGTGGGCTGTTGGTCTGTCACAGAAGACTATTTATCTGATTGAGGTAAAGGCTATCAGGGAGACTATCAGGTCAGCAGGGAGCTAGCCACCTGTGGATATGCCTCGCCCCTGCAAAGCGCGAGGTGCTGCCCTACTGCCCAACGCCACGGGCTTCATGTCCCATCTTCATACAGGCCTATGCAGCAGCGTGGGCAGTGTCACTGTGCATCCTGTGTCAAGGCCTCTCCGCCCTAAATCTTTGCTATGGCTGCACCATCCCCACTGCCCCGCGTGCGGAAAATCAATGGAAGCCCTTTACCTGGGCAACCCGGTGGCAGACGCCATCTTGCTGCCCATCATGACCCCAGAAAGGAGCAACTTCCTGGCCAGCACACAACTTGGTATGGACAGTGGCTGACAGCTGTGGGCGGGGCTTCCGTGACGTCACAGAGGCAGGGAGCCGCCTGTGGTCACCGCCCACTCAGGGTGGGTCTGAAGGGCCCCGCCCTCTCCAGCCTGGGAACTGGATCTTGTGCTTCCTATTGTGTTTTGCACCAGAGGAGTTCCCATCCTGGCTGCACTGTGCTTGGTTGAGCTTACCAGTTGGCTAGGACTAAGTAGCTAGTCCCAGACACCCAAATATCTGATTTCAGTATAGTTCAAATTTTAGTCTGGAGCCAAATGACTAAAACAAGCTTCTGTGATTTCCTGAAATGCACAGTCTTTGATAAGCCTCTGGATGCCTGCGAGGTCAGAAAAAGAATGGCCACTTTGGTTTAGCAGGGGCCTCATCGTATTCTCTCGCTGATTGGCATTGCTTGATTTCAGCCGATTTGCTCGGCGGTTTCCAAATCTTGCGAGCATCTTAGAAACATATTACTGAGCCCAAATACTGGCTGTCTGATTTAGTATGTATTTCTCTTAACTCGTTGTTCCTGATAACTGCTGCCTCTGCTTCAATTTGGAGAGAACTCAAAAGTTCACAGATCACAAGGACTACTCTGATTCAGTATGTATGTCTGTAGAGAAGAGCACAAGCTTTGTAAGTGTTCAAAACTTCTCTAAGCAGCATGTATTCTAAAATTAGTCTGATACCATTATTACACAAGCAAAGTTCACAGAAAAAGTACAAACTTAAGATATTAAAAGACGTTTAACCTGCATTACTCTAAGAGAAATGTAAACTATACCTTAACACTTTTCACCTGCCAAACTGGCAAACACACAGATTCACACAACACAGGGGAAACTATCTGTTATACTAACCTCGGCGGCTCTGATATATGTGACACTGGGTGATCAGTTCCGTGTTAGCAGAATGGAAAAGCAAGGTGTGTTGGCCTTAGAAATAATAGCTCTTTGGGCAAGGGATTTAGCTCAGCAGTGTAGGCACCTGCCTGACAAGCACATAGGTCCTGAGTTTGACACCGGGATCAACAGAAAAAAAAAAAAAGAAGAAGAAGAAGGAGGAGGAGGAGGAGGAGGAGGAGGAGGAGGAGGAGAAGAAGAAGAAGAAGAAGAAGAAGAAGAAGAAGAAGAAGAAGAAGAAGAAGAAGAAGAAGAAGAAGAAGAAGAAGAATGGCTAGTAGCCAGGGTGCTGCTAAAGACATCAACCTGAGACAACTGGTCATTTTGCAAGCAAGATGTATAAGGAACTGGTGGCAGCCAAAAAGTCAGCGTTTGCAGATTTGCCCAGCTGATAGCTTCTAGACCCCAAAAGGTGAACAATGAGCATTCTTTCAGGAATCACTTTTATTTTGAGGTTATTGTAGGTTCACATGGAGTTGTAAGAAACAAACTGCTGGATCCTTTTGCATGTGGCATTCACTAAGTGGTAACATTTTCAACAACTACAGCACAATACCATAACCAGGGTATTGGCACTGAGACAGTTAAAAGACAGAAGCCTTCTGTCACTAAAATATTCCTCCTGAAGTCTTTTTTAATAGTTGTTTAGTTGATGGATTGAGGTACAGGGTATTGAACTGAGGGGCTTTCCACTGAACTACATCCCCAGCCTTTTTTTATTTGGAGTTTGAGACAGGGTTCCACAAAGTCATGAAGTCCACCAGGCTGGCCTTGAACTTGTGATTCTCATGTCACACCCTCCCATCATGTGGGGCTTCAACATTGGCCCAAAAGCACTGGGGTCAAGCAGTCACAGACTGTAACCTCCACAACAGTGAGCCAAAATAAGCCCTTTACTTGAGGTGTGCTGTGCACCTGTAATCCCAGCACTAAGGAAGCTAAGCCTTGAGGATCACAAGTTCAGGCTCCTCTGGGAAAGTTAAATAAAAAGAAAAAGGAGTGGGGAATGTAGCTCAGCAGTAGATGCCCCCGGGGTGCAATCATCTGTACACACCAGCAGGGGCAGCAGCACCCCTGATTCTCCAGGATGAGAACTAGCACAACTGCCCAGGGTGGGACAGAACATACAGCAAGATGTCAGGGAGGGGCGGGAGGCTGCGCCCCGTTCATAGCTTGAACTACCTGGAATGATTCATCCCTAGCTGAGCGCCCTTCTCTGCTCCTCCAGGGCAAAGCTGGAAGACTCAAAAATTCTTGGGATGGAGACCGGGTTTTTTCTTCAAGCTTAACAGTGATAAGCAAAGGACAGTGTAGGAGGAGACACATTTGAAAGGATCTTAATGAATTGAGTTTTGGAGGTCTTAAAAGGGCTTCCTGTGAAAGCAGGAAAACAAGAGTTAGAAACTGAACTCGGATTTGGCAGTGATGGCTTGGAAGATGTACTTACATTTGCATATATGCCAGCATCGTAAGCAAGTGTTTTATAGTTATTTAGAAGAGGAATCCAAGCTCTTCCGATCTGGTAACTTCCGTACTTTCTCGTTCTTTGACGCAATAGTTCATGTGCTAATTAACAGTTAATTAAACTTTATTACTTTTACCGTGGTGTTAAAGTCCTTTGCTGTGTGCCAATCTGCACCTCTAAAATAAGTACCAGATGAAAGAAAATTAAACCACCTACTATTTCATTGTCAAATGATGCATTAAATTAAAATGATTCCTAACAATTTATCATTTTAATATATGTATAGTAAGTGTACTATTTTCATTTCAGGTTTGCAGATGGTTTTCTATAAACTACATTTTTATCAAGTCTGTATGTGAACAATTTTTTAAAAAGCTCTACAATAAGGTACACATAGGGTGTATTTAAGAAACTGGCAACCAAATAAAGAAGAAGCAGGGGAAGCACCGGGGGAGGAAACAAAGAAAGAGAAGGAGGAGGAGATCGGGTAAGAAGAATAAGAAGAGGAAGAAAAAGAAAAGAAAAAAACTGATACTGCAGATGCTTGTGAACAATCTGAGTTAAAAATGCTTAGATTGTGAGTAACTTGTTGTGCAAGTGTTTTGCAAGACAAGCAAGCATTTCTAATAAAATTTAACTTTATAAAGGTGATGACTTGCAATACCAGTAGTACCTGACACTGAATGTCACATGATCACAACTGAGCCAATGGTTCCCTACCCCCACAGCCACACAACAAATGTAAAATCAAATTAAAAATAATTAAAGAAGTGATTTTCAAGTGTGCTGACTTTTTTTTTTTTTTTTTTTTTTTGGCTACTGGGAATCAAACACATGACCTCACACTTTCCAGGCAGGCACTTAACACTGCTGAGCTAAATCCCAGACCAGGGCCCCAGACCAGGGCTTTGGATTTAGCTCATGGCATAAGTGCCTACCTGGAAAGCAAGAGGTCAGAAGTTTGATCCCCACCACCAAAAAACAAACAAACAAACAAATCCCCATGCTGTTAAATGATCATATTGGTTAATCTTATTGCATATAAGATTACAAAAGAAACATTACTTCCGCTTGTATATGACTAACTCTAGTACATAGACAGAAATATGGCAAAATGGTCCCCATTTTAAATGAATTTTTAAAAGAAATTCAAGAGCATTCTAACTGATTGAAATCGAAAATGTAGTTTTATTTCCTCATTTCTTCAAAATGCACTTACCCAAGAATCCACACCACTGTTTTCACTGATTGTCACATCACCTTTCTTGTGTCTTAGAGTTCATTCTTTCTATGAATAAAAATGAAAGAAATGACCATGTGTTACACGATCCCCTTCATTTATTTCTATACCTCCTTCACTCATTACTTCGTGACTACTATAAATGAAGTGTTACATGCTGAGCTGGGGCAGGACAGATCAAGAGAAGGAGGCACTGAAAACTCCATGACTAACAAAAACAGGTCCATTACTAAGTGAAAAAAGCCACGTTCACTGAATTTCTATTCCTTTTCTTTCTTGCTTTTTATTGTATTTATTTTTGGTACTGGAGATGGAACTCACAGCCTCATGCTTGCCAGGCAGGCACTCATGCCACTGAGCTAAATCCCTGGCCCTTTCATTTCTATTTCTATATCAAGAGGAGGGAGAGATACTGTATAATGCACCATATTCTTCTGCCTTGCTCACACTCCTTAAGCACTAATGCTGTGCAATGAAAACAATGTTCTTGACTGCATTCACCTGCACTGGATGAGACTTGTTATTTGTCCAGAACTGAGCATGTTAATTGTTGGGGCTTTTTTGGTTCAGTAGAGAAACAAAGGCAGAAAAGAAAAAAGGCCTTATCAGTGGGCATGGGAGAGCTGCCAAAGAGTGCAAGATCCCTCTGAGGCAGACAAAGAAGCCATGGAGCTTTGATTAGGTTTGACAGGGGATGGTGTGTGAAGAGGCGGACAGAAAGACCTACTGACAGCTGATGGTGGAGATGCTGGCACATGCACGAAAAGCAAAAAGGTCAACTGGAGCTCGGAGGAAGAACACAGAAATCAATACTAGAGGGACACGCTGTCATGTTAGGGTCCAGCACCATGTTGGGCATGCACCACGTGAGGTCTGGCAGGCTCCCACATGAGTGAAACCTATCACTGGTTCAAGCGGATTTCATACCAAGAGCGGCCCGTAGGGTGATCTGGGGCTGATGCTGACCTCGCAGGGACACCTCCTCCTGTACTTCATTGTGGCCCCATCTGCCACCCAGTGTTCTTTCTTCTACTGTTCAGTTTCTTTAAGTCAAGGAATGAAACACCTAAAGGCAATAGCAAGGAAGGCTGCATCAAAAACCATGACTGTTTCCTGGTTTATTACCAATAATACCTCCACTCACAAAATTATAGAACAATAAAGAAAATTACAAACCAGGCGACTTTAGTTTTATAGGAAAGTTAGAACATCTCAATATACTAGGATTATAGTAAAATAGATATACACATCTCTCATGTGCACTTATATGCACATATTTTGTGAGATACTCATTAAATTCCTTTGTTGTGAAATAATTCTAGCTTTCATTTCTTGGAAATTGCCTGATTATAGACTTTGATATTTATTCAGTGAATCAATCCTTCAATTTTATAGCCTTAAATCTTTGGTTGTCAGTCAAAACTGCCTAACGCTGCTTTTCATTATGATAGACAATGTGAAATCTGCACTTCTACAAAATTTCTACACACATTATTACAATTTTATTACCTATAGGCACACTGTTGTAACAGAAGTACAGAATTCATACACCTTCGAT